GATAATAAAACATTCTTCGCTCTTTGTGATAATAAAACATTCTCATTAAATCCGACGTTATGAACTCGACATCTTGTTTGTGGAAGCCGAACCAGAACAATTCTCCCAAAAATTATGCTCCATCAGAACAACATCTCGTAATATCACAAGCATCCATCAGCAAATCCTCAGCTGATGACACGAATTCATATTCTTGGAGAAAAAATTGGCTTGAAACAACACTTCAATTTCAACAACAAGGAGTAGGTGAGAAAATCACTCATAATGTACAGTTTAAGAGACTCTTTGAAGCTAATAGATGAAACTAACATNATTATCGGCGTGTTAAAATTTGGTCAACATTCCATAATTTTGTGATTTTGAAGTCTCTTTTTGTGATAATAAAACATTCTTCGCTCTTTGTGATAATAAAACATTCTCATTATATCCGACCTTATGAACTCGACATCTTGTTTGTGGAAACCGAACCAGAATAATTCTCCCAAAAATTATGCTCCATCAGAACAATATCTCATAGTATCACAAGCATACATCAGCAAATCCTCAGCTGATGACACGAATTCATATTCTTGGAGAAAAAATTGGCGTGAAACAACAATTTTCAATTTCAACAACAAGGAGTAGGTGAGAAAATCACTCATAATCTACAGTTTAAGAGACTCTTTGAAGCTAATAGATGAAACTAACATAATCAATAAGCTCACAAACATTGGTGGAATGCTGTCGGGAGAGGGCTCGAAGAACACAAATTTCGACGTCAAGCATTGATTTGCTAAATTTCTCTATTTTTATTGCAACACCTCTAGAATAAAATAACGCTTCCATCACTTCAATCATTGAATACGTTCATCACTCATCCATTCAGACACCACGTGACCAAATGCGAACAATGAGTTTCGTGTTATCACAGCAAATGTCACACTATATCATGACAACTTCATCTAGCTGTTTAAAGATTCGCTTTACTTTCAGTAAATTCGCTATTTGTTCATTTTAAATAGCAGTTCACCATTCAGCTAGAATTCATAGGGTGACTGAATTCATTATTCGAAAGATATTCATTCATTCATTTAAAACGAACTTTTTTGCGTTAGTACTCTCGAAGACGACACCAAAACCACCTTTACCAATCAGCTTCAACAGCTTATAAGTGGCCAGTTCAGTCGTAACGCAATCACCAATTGCAGGTAATTCCTCGGTTATGAAACGAATATTCCTTTGTTCTTGGAGTGCTGTGAATAGTTTTGCAGACGTCATCAATTTTTGTGAAGGTGAATAATCAATCTTTATCTGTCGTTTGCAACGGTTTATTTGATGGTTTCGATCGAAGCGAATACATATAAATTATAACTGAATTAAGCAAACAACCACGCAATTCAAAACAAAAGTAGCAGATGAATATGAAGAGATGACATCTAATGACATCCACTAATCAATCAAGAATTAGAACGTGAAATGATGATTTGGAAGCAAAAATTTACTTGCTAATTCTCAATAATTCAATTTCGAAAGGAGGAGGGAGGGGGAATTATTCTAATTTTTTCACAGTCTTGGTATTGAAATTTTTTTAAAATTCTAATTTCAGTCTTGGTATTGAAATTATAAAGTATTAGCCGAGTGTGTTCATCCATGACGGTGAAAGCAATACAGTTTATGCACTTGTTGTTTAATTAAAGTGTTGAAGGTCACGATACTTTT